CACCAGGGAGCAGACTTCTTCCACTGCATAAAATGACTTTGAATTAATCAAAGTCATCATCAAAGGCAACTATCAGCAAGGTAGATGCTGCCTACACTAGCTGGAGATGTCTCTGCCACACAGGGTCATCTGGAGGATTCATTTCTAGCAACGGATTCACTGCAGCAAAGAACTTTCAGAAGAAAGCTGGCCAAATGGCTTTTGAACAGCCACTAAAACCAACACAACCTGGTTGGCTCAGCACTTTTCACTCTTCCATAAAGTTCACTATGATGCCAGGACCACACATGTAAAAAATAAGATATGAGTTGAAGCAACCAAAACTGGGGTGGATGGGAAGAACTCTGCAACCTACAGGGTTGCAATGACTCTGATAAGCAACACAGAATCAGGTAAAGGCCATAAGGGAGAGATGAGGAATGATAAATTGATTTTCATGGACTAAAACACACAGGCAAAGGGGAACTGCCTGATGAGGGCTGGAAAAGCCTTTGAAACACAGATGACATAGGATGGATGCGGGTTAGAGGGACCAGAGCAGGATGGGATGATGTTAGTGCAGCTGAGCCCATCTCAGGAGTCTGCTCTTTTGCACATGAGTTTTTATTTAAAAGACCATATGAGCTTCTATTGCATCTCAATTGAGTTTCCTATGGTTATTTCTAACATATTAGACCTTTTGATTTCAAGCCCATCACTCAGAGCTAACACCCCCCAGGATATACAAAATATGCTTCAACTCTAAAGGCAACTGAAAGAAGTGGGTTAGAAGTTTTGTTTGCAGCAGAAGTGTGTTTTGAAGGACTCTGAGATCATCCCTGACATCACCGTGAGCGGTACGCACCTTCCTCACTCACACTTTAACAGAACAATACATTTGGCAGTGACTTATTCTCAGCAGATCACTTGTTACCATCAGGATTTACTCATTTAGTTCTGCTGGCAGCCCCCAAAGAGGGGCTATGAGTCAGCAGCAGCCCTGGGCCCTTCCTCGAGGGACACAGGAAATGGTCCAGGCACCTGCGGCTGTCTCCTCCACAGGATTTTATTGACCAAGCTCCTTTGAAAGATGCCCATGTGTCCCACGTCAAGAGCTGCCAGGGTGATGAGATGGCACATGGGAGGGGAAGCAAGGGCAACCTCTGCACTGCACTGAAAACCTGCGCTCTTCAGGGGGTGGACAATCAAAGTCTCGAGACCCATGGGATTCCAGTGCAGGGAGCGTGCAAGTAGCCCTGGAGCAGCAGGGCTGTGGGATCCTCCTCTCAGCTGCAGGGAGCAAACCAGCCAGGCCCATTAGGGTCAGGGTCATCAGAGCATCCTGAGTCACAGCAACCCATCCAGAGCAGCCCCAGGCTGGGACCCACAGCTGGGCTCCTCCTGGGGACCATCCCAGCAGCTATTTCTGGGGCTCCCTCTGCTCCCAGGGGACACCAGCAGCATCCCATGTGCCTTGGCCACGAGGGCTTTCACACGCAGCCCTCTGAGAGCCTGAGCTGTCCACGCTGCATGCAACGTGCCTCAATAAATCATTCAAGTCTTTGGTAACAGCAGCTGGTTGTGGTGTTCGCCTCCAAACATCCCGGAGCACCCGTGCTCCCAGGCGCTGCGATTGCTCTTGCTTCTCACAGCAAGGCTCAGTTGCAACAGAGCACAGCCAGCAACAGGGATTATCTATACAGTTAAATATATGTTCTTCCATGCAGTTCCCTATGGCGCTGGTGTCCACCCAGCAAATACTCATCTAGCAGAAAAAAAACTGCTGTCTGCAGTAGAGCTTGGAGGCAAAACTTATTGCTTGTGTTTTCAATCTGCCTGGGACTCACACTGAGCTCCTGGCCAGATGATTCCCTCCTCTCCATTTCCCACATGGAAGAAAAAAGAAGATTCAGAAAAGTTAAATGGGAACAAAAAAGGCCACGCTGCTGCCCCCACCCTCCGCTCAGTTAACCACCGAGCTCAGAGTTGAGCAACTCCATGGCTTACATGGCTGCTGCGTTTCCATTCCTGGCATGGAAGCCTGAGCATTTGAAAGAACTAAATGAAGAGATTTGGCCTGTGAATTCTCTGCCATCCCTTTTGCAGGAAGGTCGGTGATAGGGTTAAATATGGGTAAGCAACATCCAGCCCTCTCAGATGGTTTTGAAGATCCTCTTCAGATAACAACATGCACCTTTAAACAGCCCAACAGCATGCTGGGATGCACTGTCCCTCAGTGCATCCAACCAGCCCACCTTATACATCTTCCTGAACTGAGCCAGCTGCAGATACTAAGCTTTACATGGAGAAAGGAGGTATTTTTTAGCCCTGAACAAGTCTAGAGTGGTTTGTGCTCCTACCAGCACAAGGCAGGAAGACTCATTCCCAGCTGGTCCAATTAAAAATGATGGGTTTAGGTCAATACTCTGTTCCTGCTCTCCTGGTACCCATCCCTTCCTCACCAGCTCCACGTGATGAACAGAGATAGCTGAGATCTCTGGTAATTGCTGCACCAGCTCAGGGCCAAGTGGAAATACAGAATTAAAAGTGCACCTGATGAGGAGACTTTTACAGCCTGGGCTCATCCAGGGGGCCAGAAAACTTCCTGGCCCATCAACAGCTATCTCAGTTCCCAGCAAACATCCTCATGTACATAGCTCGATTGAACAGGACAGCCACAACCTTGACCAGAAGTGAGCCAAGATGCTGCAGAGCCATTTGAAAGCCACGACCATGCACATCATGTATATTCATTAGAGTTCTACAACTGTTTCAAGCAAAGTTATGGACAGCATCCTTTGCAAGCGCGATACCACTGGATGACCCAGGCTCCGTAGCCTTGGAGAGCAACGGTTGCATTTCGCTTCCTCAGGAGGTGATGAAAGGATTAACAGAGTGATACAGAGACAAAATCTGGGGTGCCCTGCTCAACGTGCCAGGAGGAAGGTTTGAGCTGGGCAATGCATGAAAGGTTTCCCTGAGCCTATGTTTCTCCATACAGGAGATATTTGATAGGGAAAATGCCACCTCCCCATCCTCCCCTCCTCAGGTATCACCTGCATGGGCTTTCTCAGGAGCTTTCTCATCCAAAATGTTTCCCACCAGCCTGAGTAGAGCAAGAGCTGGGGAGCTGAGATGAGCAGCGAGCTCCCACATGGCACTGCTCGGCAGAAGCCCTGCCGAGCGAGCGAGCTGGCTGAGAAGAGGCAAAAACTAAGACAGAGACGATTTACAACCTCCAGGAGACAAAAACCCCATAGCATTGGGCCCACTCCTCCTTTGGCACAGTATGAAGACCAGAGAGCCCCGTCCCCACAGGACCACACAGCTCCGGTGCGAGCCGAGCATCGCTGCCTGGGCGCAAGAGAGTAGGAAACATCCGTTTTCTTTGCATCCCAAAGCACCCATCAGCATCCAGATTTGCCTTTTCTAACAGAGGAAGGCAGGGGACAACCCACTGCACCCAGCCAAAACCAGGCTTAGAGAAGTATTCCCTTGCTGCTGGCTCCAAAGCAGGATTTAATCCCTTTCTCCTGCATATACCCCATACAAAACTCCTAGTTATAGATTAGTTGCTTCTGGAAAGGAGGGGAACAGCCCAGACTGCATATTCAGCTTTGATTACCTTCTATCTGTCAGGTAAGGTATTCATGAGTTCTCTTTCTAGGAAGCCTCAAGGGGTTGTTTATATAAAATCAGTGTTTTATTTCATGCGCTGCCCACCCTCAGATTGCACAATTCTTTGAGGGAAACTTTTCTGCTGGTCCTTTCCTTCACAGTCAGGCAAAGGAAAAAAACCCTTTACAAATCATCTTGCACACAGAGAAAATAAAGACACTGCTCAAACACACTTAAACCCCCTGAAACAGAAAGGCAAGCTTCCAGAAAAAGGGTTGATTTCTGCCCTTTGAGGTTCATATTGAGGCAGAAGGAGCCGGATCCCGGCAAAAGCTGGATTTGGCCCTTGGGGAAGCCACTGCAGTCCCTGCTGCAAGCCCAGCTGGGGGAATACGGCAGAAAACCGGGAGCCCAAGCGGGAGCCGTGGCCAGGTACCGCATGGAGCTGCCTCCACCTGCCTCCCAGCACGGAGGAAAACTCGAGCTCCTCGGGAAAGGACAAACCTCGGAGGATGCCACCCAGCACTGCCCGCATCCAAGCACACACACACACAAGTAGGCAGGGTGAGAAAGAAAAGCCATCTCCCAGGCTTTGTGCAGGAAAAAGGGGTTCAGCCCTAGGCAGGGATCTGGCTGCTAAAACAAGGGTCGGGATGTTATTTTAAGCTATGTTTATACACGCTGTAGCACCAGGTAACAGCTTCTTCTGCTCCACAGGGAGTCTAAAGCAGGACGGGATGCAGAGCAGGGCCTCAGCACAGACACCCAGCATCACCCCGGGAGGACCAGGCTCCCCGTGGTAGCAACACGTCCCTTTTCCCACCGAGCAGGATGCCCGGTGGAGGTGCGTGCCCCTCCGCACGCCCGTGTCCATCATCCACATCGCTATCACACGCGGCATCCGCCTCCCACCAGCAAGGGATGGGGATGGGGGGGGGGGGGGCAATAAAATCATAACAATCATCTATGCACATTGGGAGAGAATGAAGTTGCTGTCAAGAGGCGCTAAATTCATGTGACAGCCAGGGCTAATTAAGCAGGAGCAAGGAGCAAAGTCGCTGCGAGCTCGGCGGGGACAGGGTTACAGGCTGGCCCTGGGCTGATTGACACCGCTGAGGTTACCTCGGGCTCGGGGAGCTCGCTCATCCATCGCCATGCTCGGCAGGCAGCGAGGCCACCCAGGGGATACGCGCACATATAGATAGATATAGAGCTATATATGCACACTCGGCGTGCAGGAGGAGAGCGTCTCGGTGGCAACCTGACACCTTTCGGGAGGCAAAATGGAATCTCGCCGTCCGGTTGTGCACCCGCAGCAAGGGAGGGAGGGAATCGGATAGAGCGCTGGCAAATGCACAGGCAGAGAAAAGAGAGAAAAAGCCCATAAAAGCCCCGGTGCCTACCTTTGCTGGGTGGCAGCAGGCAGATCCCGGAGCGGTTTGGGTCGGTGGCTGCTCCCTTCTTTAGGAAATGTTCGGCTCAGCCGGTGCTATTTGCATTCTTTCATTAGCACCTGTTTCAAGTGAGGAAGGAGAAAGCTCATTACGAGATCAGCTTCCTTTCGAAATAAATTATTCAAAAATAAAGCGGAGATGCTGCCAAATAATAATAACGCTAATAATAATAATTTAAAAAAGAAACCCCAAAACACATGTATCTGAAAGCCCAAAGTAGGCAGTTTAATAATGGGAGGTCTTGCAGGTTGTGAGCATGCTCCAGCCGGAACAAATCCTTCCTCTGTTATTCCTCTGAATAAAAATAAACCACGATCAAGAAACCCAAACGGAAGCTTCCTCCTCGAATCCCTGCTGCTGGAAAATATGGAATAAATTCAGCCCGAAGACGCAGACTCTAATCAGCAGCTGGTTTCGGGCTCCAAAGGCAGCCAAAGCCTCTCTTGTCTTTTCCCACTATGAGTCTAGGCCTTTTTGAAAAGGGTTTTAACCTTTTAAAGCTACAGTGCACCAATTATCACTTCTGGAGGACTGTCACTCACGGCGCAAATAGATTACTAAAGCAGCGGCGGCGGCACGGAGGGAGCAGGGGGAGGTGCGCTTTGCACGGGGAGCCTGTCCTCGGGAAGATTGTTGTATGATTATTTGGTTTAATAGGATTCTCCCCCTTCCCCTCTCTTTGGGAGGATAATACATGGAAAACTTGCCACCCAGCTCTCGGATAAATGCACAGTCATTATAGAAACGAGCAGCTGCTGGACGCGATTCCCAGTGTCGGAGGGGGGACGCTCCTCATCAGGGTTAACTCGCAACTGAATTTTCGGGATTAACAGTTTCCGGCCCGGGCGGTGGTGTGAGAGGGTTAATGACATGCAGAGAGGAGCTCTGTCAAGTGCTTCCCATCAAACTAAGGATCAGGCTGCAAAGTTTGAGCCGAGCAGCCCTGGCACAGCACTAAAGCGTTCTTCCAGGAGGAGGATTGGGGGGTGGTTTTATTTTAGCAAACAGAGTCAAAGCACCCCCCAAAAAAAACCTCAGCCCGCTAACAACCAGCGCCGCAAAGCACCGGTGGCCCCATGCATGGCTCAGCACCCACAGGACAACGCGGAGCCAGCTCTCCCATGGGGGACCAGGGGTGATGGGTTCCCAAGCCTGGCACCCCAAGGCAGCGACCCCCAACACCTCTCCTGGTGCCAGCGGCACCCGGCCCACCTTGGTGGCAATGGCATCCTCCTGGTCAGGGAGCAGAGAGCAAGGGGCCATCCCCGGGGGTGCTGCGGCTCCACGTACGACCCTCCTCTGTGGCCAGTGCTTTCTGCAGCCCCCGGCATGCAAACCATCAGGAGCAAGCGGTCCTCCCGCCCTCTCCCCCCCCTCCTCCTCCTCCTCTTCAGCAGAAAATCATCGTATTTCATGTGTCGCTGCTCCAGCCTCGCCAATTGGCTGGGCACTCGCAGGCGGAAATGTCAGGAGCAGCCCAGCATCGGTGCCTGCCCGCGGCCACCCGGTCCCCCCGGGTCCCCAGAGCACAGCCCGGGGCAGGGGGCACAGGGCTGGCCATCGCAACTGGAGGGAAAAGGGATTTCGATGGCTGGGTTGGGGTTTTTACGCCGCTTTGGCTCGGCTCCGCAGGGATGCAGGCTGCCAGCGACTTGACCTTGACCCGCACGGCTGCGTTGTGCTGCCAGCAAGAAGCATTTTTCCGGATGACGGAGACCGAGCACATCTGCTCTGCTCCATGGAAGCACCTCCCTGCGCACCCGGACACACCGAGGGGCCACGCTAACACCCACCGCAGCACTGGCTCCATGGGCGCATCGCAGGTACCGTAGCTGCCCTCGGGGATGATGCATGGTAAACAGCTGCTTTCCTTCTTTCCCCCCACCCATTTCCAGTGTCAGTGCATTTGTTCACAGCTTGTCTCCCACCTCCAGACCTTTCAAACGAGATTTATCAGCTTATTTCTTGATCATCTTAATAGCTGGAGAATCTGGGGGTTGGAAAGAGGAACCTGCCTGAAGTTTCCCAGCGTGGAACAACGGCTGAAGTAGGAAGACAGCCCAAGACTCATCATCTGATCATGTTCCTTCTTAAAGCAAGGGGAAAAAAAAGTCCTAAACTCCTGGGAAATGAGCAATGGAATCGCAGAAAGGAATAATCCTGATGAAAACTGTCATCTACATCCTCTGCTAACACACCACCTGGAAATGAGAGGCGAGCACATCCCGTGAGACTGGAAAATGTTCTCCTAAGGAGAAACCGAGCCAGATTTTCCTGCTGGGCACATGAAGAGCATAAGGGAAATAAAACAGCCAAAAGCCAACTTTTAGTTTGTGGCTGCTTACACTGGATGAGAAAAGATTGCGTTGTTACAAAAGCTAAAGAGGATTTGAGTGCGCCATTTATGGCGCAAATCAGCTTATGAAACCTGCAGTTATCTACTCATTGTGAAAAGAATTGGTAGTAAATGGGCAATATAAGGGATGAAAGAGCCAAAGGCTCCAAAGCTTCCTTATCTGGCCATCTGACAAGCACCCTGAAGCCCAAGTCGTCAGCGAAGTGGATCCAGCCCAAGGCAATGTGCTCCTGCAATGGGAGCTTGGCAGTCACCATTCCCACCATCCACAATGTCCTCTACCTCCCTGTGTCAAGGCAAGCGCTTTGGCACAGCAGAAGCTCATCACCACTGTGTGTCACTGTAGGCATTAAAACAAGTGCAGTAAGAGGGAGGAAAGTGAGATAATCAGTCTATTACACAAAAAACCCTCCCGTCTCGAGTCCAGAGCAAAGGACACGGTTCTTCTTGCTGGTCTCCCCCTTCCAGGTCTCAAGAGGAAGCCACACAACAAGACGTTTTATCACCTACACCAGCCTGTACTTCATGTAACAGATGACCCAGGTCTATCATGGTAGGTCTCCAAGGTGCCATGCAGCTCCATGTGCGAGAACCTGGGTGAATTAAAGGAGCTATAGAAGTGGTGTCACCACATTGCCATTGTGCCCCTACCGACATCATCACCCTCACATGAGCCCAGATGTCCATCTGCCACCATAATCTACCCCATAGACCTTGCTTCCCACCCCTGCAAGTCACACACAAAAACAGCTGTGCTAAAAGCCATGGCAGAGTTTATTGAAGTCTGTCAAGTTGACATCTAAAACCCTACATGACTGGTAGCAAAACCAAGAGGGGCTCTTCATCAGGGACTTCAGCAATAGGACAAGGGGTGATGGGTTTAAACTCAAACAGGTGAAGTTCAGATTGGAGATAAGGAAGTTCTTTACTGTGAGGGTGGTGAGGCGCTGGCACAGGGTGCCCAAAGAAGAGGTAAATGCTCCATCCCTGGCAGTATTCAAGGCCAGGTTGAACAGAGCCTTGGGTGCCATGGTTTAGTGTGAGGGGTCCCCGCCCATGGCAGGGGGGTTGGAACTGGATGATCTTAAGGTCCTTTCCAACCCAAACCATTCTATGATTCTATAAGGAAGGGTAAGAGGAGCCCCTTTGATGTTTTGAGGCGTAACCTTCACTTGTGACTGTTCAAGCTCCTCTCTGACCCCACACAATTTTTAGGTGATCCTTCAGAGAAACACCTCCCAGAAGGTGGCACAGAAGTTGCAGCAAGACCACAACCACCTGATTCACCCCTGGAAACAGAGAGCAATAAAGCCATCATCAAACCACTTAGCTAACTAGCTTTTCATCCTTTCCATATGTGCCACTTTGAAGCTGCATCACCCTTCCTTCCAGAAAACCACATTCATACAGCATCCATGCAAGTGCTTTGTACCAATTACCTCAGACCTTTGTTCCCCCTTTTTAATCTTAATGGTGATATGAATTTAGCTTTCTTCCAATACTCTGAAGCTTTCCTAAGCAGTTCAAAACCTGTTATAAATCAATATTAACAGCAGGGAGAACTTCTTGAATAGCAATGGAAAGACCTGCATTACAAATCAGCCACATCTTCACACGCTGAGCAGGGTCTGAAACCTAGGAGACCCCAGTCCCAGTGGATGCATTAGTTCACTGCTCCCTATGCAGTGAAGCACACCCTCATTAGAGGTGACACACGCCACAAAACGTGACCTAATAAGTTCTGTGGGGCTTATTAGTTGGGCTCCATGCTGGTGCTGGGAACTAGCAGGCCTGCAAAACCATCCTGCTGTGTGGCCAGGGAGGGGACCTGGTTGCAATCAGTGAGAAGAGGGGGCAGGAGTAGTGGGATAAGCCAAAACAAAGCATCAAAGTCATTAGTTTTCCACTTCTTTTTGAGGCAAGACTTACTGTTAGCACACCAAGACACTGGCTGTAATTTAGAGGTCAAAATCATTCACTCCATAGCTCATCTCTCTTCCTTTTTCTCCCATGAAAAGGGTCACAAATAAAATTCATAGAGTTGAAAACATGCTTCAAAACTATCCGATACTTCCTTGTGGGTACTTTTCTCTTGACAGCAGTACCCTGTTCAACCCTAAGTGAGGGGGTAGGGAAGGACAGAGGTGCTGGGACCAGCTTAAAGCTCATCCAGAACTCTGGGAATATTCCCAAAGGGCAAACTGCCCCTTTCCCCCATGCACTGCTCAGTGTGCAACCACGGTGCTATGTACATACAGTGCACAGTACAATGCGCGTTGCTCAGCAGGATGAGTCTGAGCTCCTTACATGGGAATTCATGGCTCTGATACCTAACAGGCATTCTCCTGTGAAAAATGGGATAAGCATGCAAGATTCCATATTTTTTTGCCCCTTTTTATTTACCTACTTATCAAACCTACTCAACTAGGAGCAGAAAGTTGCATTTGCTTTTAATTGCTAGCTTCACTAATGCTCTTGGGATCAAAAAGGCAAGGTGTGAGTTTATTCTTCTGCTTTTCTTCTTCGACTTTGTAATAACTAACAAAGATCCAAAGGCAAAGCATGGCTTTGCTTTCGCTGCCTTCCTGGGACCTAATACAGCAAAACAAATAGGATTCCTGGTGCCTCTACATAATGCATTGCATTTGGATTACATACTGTGGTTTGGGAAGATGCAGAAGATAACAGCACATGCAGGGAGAAGGGATAAGTTGTAACCAGGGGAACAGACCACAGGGATGCGAGTGCTGTCAGAGCCCCGGGTGCCTTTGCCTTAACCAAGAGGCTGGATTTTGATCCATCTCCTCTCAGCCCTCACGTTGCTCACTGCAGCTGAGGAATCTGCACAGGAGCAGGGTGGGATGGAATGGATAAAGATGCTGAGGGCTGCCTCATGATAAAAACAAGACATAATTCAACAGTAACACAAAGTATAAGAGCTCATGCACAAGCAGTTTATGGAGTTTGCATAGGGGTGGGAGCCTCTGACTCCTTTTCCCCATCAGTAACCCCCTGCCCTGCAGCCAGTCCTAATGGGTGCCCCAGGGATTGCCAAGAGCTCTGAATGAGGCTGCAGAAGTACCCTTGGGCAGGTGCTGAGCAGAGAAATCTTACCAGTCCAATAAAGGGCAATGAGGATCACTGAGTAAACCTAAGCTTATTTCACCATTTGCAATA